ACGGCAGACTGGGATGTTGTTGTGCCTGTTGTTCTCTCATTCTCTGTGGTCTCTCATACCCCAGACATCTTCAGGGATTGCAGTGATCTGCCTCCTGACAGCTCCAGTGGCACCTACACCATCAAGCCCCGGGGGTATCGGGACGTCATGGTGTACTGTGATATGGATGAGGAAGATGGGGGCTGGACCGTGATCCAGAGGAACCGGCAGGACACGGATGTCACCTGGAACGAGTCCTGGAGCACCTACAAGAACGGCTTTGGGAACTTGCAGGGTGACTTCTGGCTGGGCAACGAGAACATCTACTGGATTGCCAAGCAGAGGGCCTACCAGGTCAGGTTTATCATCCAGGATGGTTCAGACAAGAAGCTGTTTGCAGATTACAACATGTTCCGCCTGGACGATGAGTCCCAGGGCTACAAGCTGAGGCTGGGGGCACACTCGGGGACAGCAGACGATGCCATGGCCCTATTGAGCACCACCATCGTCCATGACAACATGAAGTTCTCCACTAAAGATCGGGATCAGGACATTTCCAATGTGAACTGTGCTTCCAACGCTGGGGGCGGGTGGTGGTACTCGGCGTGCTACTCTGCGCTGCTGAACTACAAGGGGCCCTTGACATGGGGAGAGTCGTGCAAGGGGAACTGCAAAGCCTCTGCCATCCTCATCAGGCCCCTCAAATGCTAACTGCATTTTAATTTCCTTTCTGTTCAACCTGTGGACAATTCTGGCTCTGTAATTTTCAGGGAAAGCACTTAATTTTCACTTGCTGAAGATCTTGCTCAAGATATTAACATGCACAGTCAACTTCCTACTCGGAACCTCCTGTACTTAAGGCTTAACAGATGTTAAATTGTCAAATAAATCAGTAAGCAAAGAACTGTCTGACTTGTGAAAGCCTGTTTTGGGTCTTTGAAGCGCTCGCAGAGGTTAATGCATTGGAGGGTTTCCACCACTGCAGATCAGCCTTTCCCTGAGCCAGGACTTCCCAGAGGTGACAGCACAGAGGGGAGGCACCGTCCTGCCTTTGCCTCTTTGAATCTGAAAACAAGATTTCAAAG